GTCTGGAAGATCCAGGGAAGAGTTTCTCCCGTGTGCCAGTGCCCACTGGCCATGCCGGCTGGCCGGTCTCCACGGGACCCCCTTCCCAGGATGGAGATGCGGGCCCTATGCTTTACGCTGGAGTCTGCTAATGCAGGGTCTGTGCCTCGGCTGCAGAGATGGGCCCCGTTCATGCCTGGTTCTGGGCCCTGGGCAGCCCTGCCTTCTCATCAGGACCCGTCAGGGAACTCGACGGAGGGCTGGTGCCCAGGTTAACTCAGAATGTCCGAGGGTGAAGCCCAGGCACAGGTATTTGTCTTCGAAGCCTATTGGAATTAGATTCCAGTATGCAGTCGGCACTGGGGACCACGCCCTGGGCGGACAACGGTGCTATTCTTGTTACTCTGTTTTGGGGGAAGAGCCGTGAGCTGTGAACCTTAGTGTTGCTTCTCCAAGGTTTTTTCCCCACCAGTGTTCTCTTTTTCCTTAGTTTTCTATCTTAAACCGTGATTTGTATTTCTTTTGTCTTGCTATTCTGTCCTGTCGAGCTTTTTTACAGCAGTCTTGGTCTCTTTCCTTTCATCTGGTTATTGATGCGCATCCACCCACGTATGACTGCCCGTGAGGACAGGCAGAGAGCGAGGTGCTGGGGACACGGCGAGAACCAGAAGGCCGGGTCTCGTGGAGTGCGTGCCAACTGCAGTGTGTCCTGTTCTTTTCTTTTTCCTGTGACATTTGAAGCAATTTTTATAGACATATATCAGTGGTCCCTCCTTCATTTTGTCTCTTTTTCATCCCTTAACCAAACTCTCATCTTAGTACATTGATTGTAAACAAAGCCTCCACTAAGGGAAACTAAGTCAGCTCAGTTGTAGGCATTACATGAGGTTGTGTGTGTGTGTACACACAGGTGTGGTGTGGTGTTGTGTGTGCACAGGAGCACTGGCATCTGGAGAGCATTTGAGTCTGGAGATTCCCAATCCACGCCTCCTTTTACTTCTGTGACTGGGAAGGGTCTTGGAGATCACTGATGCGTGGGTTACCCGCCAGCAGTGATCATGGAACACTGCAGATGGCTCATCGAAACACGAGAAAAACATACACAGAGACAACCAGGTCCTGTGGGGGAATAGGAACAGCAGGGCCACTCCTCACGTGGGGAGCACCTTGGCCACCCTCTCTCCTGGAGGGCACCGCCGCTTGGCCACCCTCCCCGGTGGGGAGAGTGCCCTGTTCCCCCTCCGGAGAGGCTTTTTGGTTTCATTTGCATAAGAATTCAGGTAAAGCTCATTACTCATTGCTAGGAAGTAAGGATCAAACAATAGAGAACAAGGAAGTCTGAGGGCCTATTTTGAGTCAAGGTCAAAGAGCTATAAGACTTTAAAGAACAAACTAACTTCCTCCTTGGACCCTTATCATTCAACTGAGCATTCTAAACAAAGAAGGTTTCACAGGAATTTACATATTCTTTCTTAGGCCTGATCACCTGGGGAACCCACCCTTTTCAGCACAGAGCTGCACCCCCCTGTCATTGTTTCAGGCTTAGGTGGAGCAAGGGAACTAAGGCAACCAGGAGATAAGGAGATTTTCTCCCAGACGATGAGGACTCAGGCTATGTCAAAGCCGAGGAGCGAGGGTCCCTCACCCCCTTTTGCTGTAGCCCCCAAAGTCCTTCTTTTGGGGGCCTCCCACGTGATCGTGCCTGTCTTAGGTCATTCCCCCCTTGGGGAATCTTACCCGTCACTGGCTAACCGACCAAGCTTTGGGGTTCAGTTATGGATGAAGCAGCAGAAGCAGCATTCCTGCCAGGGAGATAAGCTTTTGTCTCCTTGCTGGCTTAGGGTTCCAAGGGCGTTCCCTTAGCCTTAGCCTAGGCAGGGGTTACAGCTTCTGATACCAGGCAGGGTGGTTCCCAACAGATCACAGGGTTGTCTCTTTGCCCCTGGACAATGCCCAACCAGTGAAGGAAGGTTACTAAAGGCCTTACGTGTACAGGAGACAGAGCTAGTTGCTCTCTGGTGGGAGAAGGTTCTGGGTGCCAAGACGGCAGGAAGAGGAAGGTCCAGCCTTGCCCTTGGGAAGCCCCTCCCCCCACCAGCACAGGGAGGAGTGAGCCATACAAGGGGCCATGGTGAGGGCCAGTAGGGACTTCAGAAGAACCCAAGCTTGGGGCACAGAGTTCTCAGGGCTTTGCCGGCATCGGTGCATATTACTCTGATAGCACTGTGGCTCCGTCACTCCCACAGTTGTCGTGGGTGCCCTTCCTCTCCTACTGTGCGTCTTCCCTGAAGTCAGCTCTGAGGGGCACTTGTCCTGGGTGGCAGGCTACAGGCACATTGGCCGGGTTCACCAGGAGGCCTGGACTAGGTTTTCTTCCTGTTGAAAGAAGAGGAGAATCTCCCTTACTTTCTGCTCACAGCCCTTACACATTTCTAGTTGCGCTTCCCTCCCCAGGCCCAGAGCTCGCCACGGGCATTGTTTCTAGCTCCTGGTACAAGGGAGTGTGGTGCAGCTGCATCTTTTCACCAGAGGGAAACACAAACCTGTTTTCCTTTGCTCAGAGTCTAGGGATTTCTTTGTGGATCTGTTCTACTACTCTCTGTGGTAGTGGTTTTCAAATTCTTGGTTTTTGTGTGTGTGTGTGTGTGTGTGTGTGTGTGTGTGTTTTACTGTGATTTATATTAAGAAACAGGTTGCATCAGCACATGTAGCTGAAACAGAAGTTTCCTCAAACATTACTTACTTTTACCGAATGCAGTGCCCTGGAATATTTCACATTCTATTACATTCTTTTAAAGCAGGGTTTATTGCTTACCAAATTAAATCCATGGGATAATAATGGCTTGTCCATAACGCCTAGTTTGAAGATTGTCTGCTTTAATCCACGTGCGTGGTCTAGCGCCTCCTTGTGGATTGCTGGACAGCAGCAACCACTCAGCCAAGGCGTGGACTGCCTGCCATACCTAAAGGATTTGAATTTATGGTCCTAGGCTTTTCCCAACAGAAACATTTGCCAATTGCAGCGAAAAACTAGCACGGAGCATCTTTCCTCCTCTAGGACATGTCTTTTTAAGACGTTTGAGTAGCAAAAATCAAAGAACAAAAATTTACAAATAAGTGATGGAGCCTGTCTCTGGCTTTTGACCAGTGCTTGCCCCCTCATTTTCACAGCTGCTAAGAGATCACACAATAAAGCTGCAAACAGCCCACAGCTGTGTCTGGTAGTGTGCGGCCCAACGACATCACTCCCCCAGGGCCTCGCAGCCAGTGAGGGTTTCTTGATGCACTGAGAGAACTCAAAGATTTCTTGTATCTAAGAGGACATTTAAGAATGCCTCCCAAAGGTCAACAATGTTTTAAAGCCATTTTTCTAAATGTATAAGAGGTTCAGCTGGTGTGTGTGCCAGCCAAGGGGGCCTGGTGAGCATGCAGAGAGGCCGTTAAGAGACGAAGCAAATGCATGGCTTGTAGAGCTGGGCCCATTTCTGCCCATTTCCCATCATGCCTCCCACCCCGCCTCCAACCAGCCAAAGCCAGCGTGGAGACCTGTTAAATGCTCATCCCGTCCAAGTAGGTCTGGGGACTCTCAGTAGCGGGACAGCAGCTTTGGATCTCTTGTAGGGCCTGTGGGCCGTCAAGTGAGGGTAAGAGTCAGGTGCTCAGGAGTGTGTATGCCCAAATGGCCCCCGCAGACCTCGCCTCAGGGGTGTTTTCTTCTTCCTTCTCTGTGCTGCTCTCTGCCAGGCTCTGGGACCAGCCGGCTGGGCTGTTGTATCTATGCCCTACCCCCCTCCCGTGTGAGTGACCTGAGACCTCTGTGCTCCTCTGCAGCTGGGCCTTCGTCACGGCCAAATCAGTGGTCACCCACAAGCCACCTTCTTCTGAGCAGATAAGACAGGAAAACACCTTAGTATCAGGGAGCGAGGAGCAAAGGGCCGCCTACTCAGTCTTTACTTCACACTCGAGATAACTGAGCTCCACCTGTGATTCTGAACCAATGAGAGACCCAGCCCCGGGTCGGGATCCCAGCTTGGGTGACAGCAGCAGAAACCAGCTCCAGGTCCCAGGAGTCGGGCTCTCGGCCTTGCTGCCATAAGGGTGACCGAATGCAAGGGTATTGTTCCTCAGTATTTGTAAGGAAAATTTAAATTTCACCCTTGAGGGCATTTGGTCACCCAGGTTTTAAATTTCAGCTCTGCCTGGCCAGTTTAGACCCACTGGGGTCAGCGTTCCCCCCTAGTGTGCCCAGAAGAGAGTGCTGAGTGTGCCCAGCAAGTTCTGTGACTCACCGTGGGCTGGTATCTCTCTACTGACCACACTGACAATGGGTGTGCGGTGTACAGGTCAGGCCAACAGCATCCTGGCCACCCGGTGCTTTGGTGGGGAGGTGGGAGGGGCGGCAACAGAAACGAACCTCTGCAACCATGGAGACCAGGGTCCCCTGCAGCGCTGCTGAGGCCCCAGTGCGGGCCCATTTCACAGGGACTACTAGGAGATCTCACACTTGGAAGTGGCTTGGTGGTGTACAGCTGTTACAAAGTAGCTTCACTCATTTCACGGCTTTATTTCCAGAGCTTAGAGCTGAGAAGTTGTACAGAACTTACAGCTGGGAACCTGACACACCCAAATTCTCACAGCTTTGGAAGATCTGAGATTCTAGTCCAGCACCGGGGTCTCCAGCCCCACATGCCTCCTAGCAGACCAGTCCCCAACAGTGGCAATTTCTGGGTCCCCACCAACCCGGGAAGCCACACGAAGGGCACCGTGTGGGCCTGGTCTGTCGGTGCCCGAGTCTAGAACCTGCTGCCCATCTTTGACCCATCCACCTCGAGAAACCTCCTGCCTAAATGTTAATATTTATCATTTACAGCTGGCCACTGCCCGCTTTCAAAGGTGAACACAGTAAAATTTATGACAGGCACACTATCAGACAACAGAAGAGCATAAAAGGGGACGAGTGACAGGCCACCCGTCTGCAGAACCTGTCCATCCGAGGCCAGCGACACCCGGAGGGTTTGAGCATGGGGCTGCTGCTGCTGCTGCTGCTCCTGGGGCAAGGTAAGTCCTCCAGGGCCCGCCCTGCTGGCGGCCCCTGCCACTGGGCCATGGCGCTTGGGACAGGAACGTGCCCTTTGCGTGAGCACAAAACGCACGGTTCAGGTCCAGGCAGGCTGGAGTGCTGCGGCCAAGTGCCCACGGCTGCGGGGCCAGAGGAGGGTCTTGGGATGGGTGAGGAGGCACAGGCAGCAGCTCCGTGGCAGGGAACCAAAGCTGCCAGTGCAGGGAGTCACCGGGATCTGGGTTCCAGTTCTCCCTGCCGTGCGGCCCGGGCAAATGCTCCCTCCCTAGACCTGGAATTTTTTTTTCTCATTCTTAACATGGAAATACTCCTGCTAATGAAAAAGCACATTTTGATTACTCTATTTACGGCTTTTGTTTTTGCTGAAAGGACAGAGGAAGGCAGGTTTCAGGGTGATACATCCTAAAGGATTGCCCCCCTCCTTTAGTGCTCTGGGACTTGACGTGACAGAGGGGGCTCCCGGGAAGGGCTTTGGGTTTCTCCCGACGCCGCTGAGGGTTAGGAGATCGTGCCTCTGAAGTAGTCCCTCCCGGCTCCCCCTTATCCAACCCCTGCCGGCTCCTCCCTCCTCCCTCTGTTTAGAAAGGCAGACTCCTTTAACCTGAACAGGGTCTTGAAGCTATTTTAGCCTGTCCAGGTGAGAGGCCTGGGCGCAGAGTGGGAAACACTTGTGTCGGCGGCCACAGAGGGGAAGGAGGAGGTTTGCCGCTGAAGCCCGGGCCTGGCTGGGTCCGAGTGCCCTCCAAGTCTGGGGTGTGTGGGTGCAAGGGGGGAGGACTGGGGTGGGGGTGCAAGGTGGGTGGGGTGCGAAGTGGGGGGATGATGGCATCGGTTATACTTATGGCACGAGTGACTGCGTTCTCCTAATTAGCATTCTCCTAATGAGGCTGAAGTGCTTTTCAAAAAAAATGTTTATTGACCACTTGAATTCCTCTTTCGTGACGTATTTGTTGAAGTGTTTTCCCACTTTTCTACAGGTTTGTTCTCTTTTCATCGGCAGATACCTCATACTCTGACGCTTGTCTTTCCACTCTCTTTAGAGAGACGTTGGATGAGCCAATTCCTTACTTTGGGGGGGAAACACAGACCACCCAAATGGGAACAAATGGAGGGTATTTCCTCAGGGTTTGCTCTAGCGAGGGGGCCAGCCCCTATCATGCGTGTTGGGCAGAGACTCTGAGGCAGGTGGGGGAGAGGGAAAGCCTGAGAGTGAAAAGGGGGAGGGCTCAGGTGTGCTCCGCTCACAGGTGGTTGCCATGGAAAAGCTGGAGGCTCTGTGGCCAGAAGCCACGCCTTTTAAGTGATTTGCTGGGGGAACACGCCAGGCTTTCTGCGGCTGGTCCTGAGCTGGAAGCAGGGACAAGCGTAGGGAAGCTGCAGACACAGACCGAGTCCTGACCGTCCAGGCCGATGGTTGCAGCTGCGGTGGCTGGGCTTCCTGGGCAGGCTGCTGCAGGTGTGGGGTGGCCAGGGTCCCGCTGTTACCTGTGGTCTGGCCACAGTCTGTTTGGACATTGTCTCTCGATTTCCAAAGTTTTTCATCTTTTCCATAATGGCCTGTGCGCTTTGCATCTTATCTGAGAACCCCTCTTCTGCCTCACAGTCAGGAAGATATCATCCTATATTTCCTCCTAAAAGTTTTGTGAACTTGATTTTCTTTTCGTGGTCTTGATACATCTGGGGTTGACTTTGTGACTAGTGTGCTGCGATCTTCTTTAATGCCTCTCAAAGTTTTATTGTTTTCTCTGCTGAGGTCTTGCATATGTTTCATTATTCTTAGATGTATGATTTTGCTGTATGGTGAATGGCTTCTCAATTTTTTTATTTTGAAAATGTTACTGATATCTAGAAATAACATTGATTTTAATATATTGATTTTGAACCCAATTAAATTCTCATAAATGTTAATAAGTTCCATGTATATGCTTTTGGATCGCCTGTGTACACAATCCTGCCAATAACGAGGATTTCGCTGCTCTCTTTCCCATCTGTGTACGCTTCTTGCTGCTGCCTTACTGCGCTGGCTGGTGCCTCCGTGACGGCACTTCGCGAGCGTGGCCCGTGGAGGTATTCTCACCTTACTCCCAAGGTCAAAGAAAAGTGTTTAATGCTTGGTCAGAAAGTATGGTGTTCGCTACTGGCTTTTCTGTGGGTACTCTTTATAGAACTAAGAAAATTCAATTTTGTTCCCAATTTTCTAAGAGGTTTTTTTTAAAAAAAAATCATAAGTGGATGTTGAATTTTATCTAATATTTCTCTGCACTTGTTAAGATGATTGTATGATTTGCTTCTTTAATCTGCTACTGTGGTGAATTCAATTAGTCGATTTCTCATTTTATATTTTTCAGTCATGGCTGGTTAGATTAACCAAAGATCACAGATGGCACTGACTTGTCCTGCCTCTTTAGTCTCCAGGGCGGTTCATTAGAACAGTGCTTTCACCTCTTCGTTTGCTTGCTTGTTTGTTTGCTTGTGTCAGTGAGAATTTTAGGCTGGTTCTGGTCACGTGCGCTTCCATTTGGATTTGTCCAAATAGTTTCTTTTTTTATTCATATGTTATTTATTTATTTATTTAAATCATTGTTCAAGTACAGTTTTCTCCCTTTTACTCCCATTCCAGCCCACCCACCCAAACCTCCCCACCTCCCTCCCATTACCACCCTCCCCCTAGTTTTTGTCCATGTGTCCTTTAAATTTGTTCCTGTAAACCCTTCCTATTCTCTGCTGAAATTCCCTCTTCTCTCTCCTCTGGTCACTGTCAGCCTGTCCTCTATTTCAGTGTCTTTGGTTATATTTTACTTGTTTGTTTTGTTGTTTAGGTTCCTGTTAAAGGTGAGATCATATGGTATCTGTCTTTTACCACCTGGCTTGTTTCACTTAGCATAATGCTTTCCAGCTCCTTCCAAGCTGTTGCAAAGGGTAGGAGCTCCTTCTTTCTTTCTGCTGCATAGAATTCCATTGTGTGAATGTACCATAGTTTTTTGATCCACTCATTTACTGATGGGCATCTAGGTTGCTTCCAGCACTTGGCTATTGTAAATTGTGCTGCTATGAACATCAGGGTGCATAGGTTCTTTTGAATTGGTGTTTTAGTGTTCTTAGGATATAGTCCCAGCAGTGGAATTAAATAGTTTCTTTATTGCTGGCGTCAGATTAAACTCTCAGAATGGACATGCCTCATAGAGAATGTCACGTCCCAGTTCCATCACCTTAGGGCCTCCACCTGAGGTGGGCAGCACCCCAACTGGTGACATTAAATGTGATGGTTTGGTTTTGGTGGGGTCCACCCGGTTTCTCCCCTTGGGGGATGCCGTCCCACTTGGGGTTTTAAGTTATCCATGGAAAGATGCCGTGCTGCTACCTTGTGACTGTTCTTATGCCCAGTGGTTTTTTTTGGCACCCACTGATGATTCCTGCCTGAATTATCACCATTATGAGTGTAAAATGGTGATTTTGAAATGTTTACCACCCCTTCTAATATTGTTAGGTGGAAATGCTCCATAAAAAAGATTCTCTTCTCTTGCCCACTGTATGTACGTTTTGTCTTTTTCATATAAAACGGACTTGCAGAGTCTGTTCTTAATCAGGGTGCTATAATTCAGTCCTGTCTGTCATTTATTCTGATGCTCGAGCTGTTACAGGTTTGGCCAGTGAGAACTTCCTTAGGCTAACCACCATGTCCCTGTCCATTTTTAAGCACGTTTGAACTTTGTGGTACAGGCGAGCTGTTCCAGGCTAACCTGTTCTGTTTGTTTGTTTCCTACCTCAGCCGTGCAGTTAGCCATCTCTTCAGTTGGTAAGGATATTCTTTAGACACCAAGAGCTGGGTGCTCGGGGCGTTCGTGGCTGCTGGGGTGTCATTGCGTCTAAGCCCTCTCAGGGGACAGAGCTACGAAATACAGTTTTCTTTTTTAAACAATGTTTTTACACAGACATCTGTAATTTCAGTCAGAAATAGTCTTTTGTCTCCCTCCCCCATCCTGGATTTGTACTGTCTTCCCACAGTGCAAACCAGCATCATAAAATATCAATAAATTGATTCATGTGCTAACCCCTATGACGCATGCACCATAACATCAGAGTCATTACAGCAGTAACGTCACCACTGACAAATGCAGTTCAGAACTTCTTTGCTGTTCTTTGTCTTTGGATGACATCCACGCAGGGTGTGTAACCAAAAGACTTCGTTCAAAATCAGTGGGTTAATTTTCTCTCTCGTTTTCTTTCTGTGGTGATGTTCTCTGTCTGGCATATTGTTAAGTTCGTCTGTTTGTATTCAGTTACAAGGCTTCTCCTGCTCATGTTGATTGTACTTTAGTTTTGAAAATGGATCACGTGAACATGGTTAAAACATCAAGACTACGAGAAGAGATGTAGCTCCCAGAGACATCCCACCCCTCCCCAAGACTTTCTGTTCCGTGTCCACCCACCTCTGTAGGTGCCCAATTGCAGTGTTTTCCCACTCTTTCGGCGTTTCTTTTTACAAATATACATTCTTATTTTTTCCTTTTTCATTAAGGGAACCTACTATACACTTCTTTGCATCTTGATTTTTCCGCTGGGCAATGAACCTGAAACGTGCGTTTGGCTCCCTTACTCCACATGCCGCGTCTCTTGGCCCCGCCCCCCCGCCTCCATCCCTCCGTGCGCCTTCTGACTGACGACGGCACGCGTTCTAGTTCATTCTTTCGGTGGTGTCCAATGTGCTATTACACCCGAGGACTGCAAGATCACTGAAGATTTTGAAAACTGACTTGATGTTTCAAATTTAATAGACATTTAGTTATTTACCAAATTTGTAAATGTTACCTTTTTTTTTTCTTAAATCCTCAACTGAGGATATGCTTAGAGAGGGGAAGGGAGGGAAAGAGAGGGAGAGAAACACTGATGTGAGCGAGAAACCTCGATTCGGTTGCCTTCTCGTACGTGCCCTGATTGGGGACCAAAGCCCCAACCCAGGCGTGTGTTCCAACTGGGA